TTCTCGCGATTAGATTTCTCTCTCTAGTGATTCTGCGCGGGGCTGCGCGCCAGACGCCAGCGCGACTGCCTCACCTCCACTCGGGGACTAGAAAGCGCGGCTGCACATGCGGCTGCGCAGGCCAGTGGTTGTAATGAAGAGCAGCGTGCACGAAGGAGAAGGGGAGAGGCGGAGCGGGGCAGAAGGCACGTCCGCTAGTCTTTTGCTCCTCATAACCACCATAATGCTTTCATGAGTCGTTTTACGACGAAAGCTGGGAGAGAAATGAGTAGACGAGGTGTCGTCCAAGGGGGGCTGGGGTGGCGCAGGCAGCCGGCGGCGGGGTGGCTGGCGTGCTTGGATCTCGAACTCACCCCCTCCGCTGCGCTGGGCCGGTGCGCCCGCCCAAGAGAGGCCCTGGCGACAAAATGGCCTTCTGAATTAATTGCATGTGACGGCCTGGGAGGGGCTTAAGTAGTGCAGTATCTCTACCAGCTGTCAAGGACAATACATAACTTTTTTGGGGTCACGCCTCTCTCCCTCTCTCTCCCTCCCTCTCGCTGGCGTGCTCGCGCTCAACAGTAAATGCACTACGTGAATGCACGCGCTGTGAAAAATATTATTGTGAATTTGCAATAATTTTTAGTAATGAATAATTAACAAAACGATGTTTTTAATTTACGATCGAAATTTTACGACAAACACATTAAGATCGTTCAAGAAAGCCACCAAGTGTTTTCTTAGGAATCAGTTATAGAAAGCGTATCAAAACTTTCGTAATTGTACGATGTCAAATGGTCACTCTAAACTTAATGGAAGATTTTCCCTCGATTTTCCCTCATCATATTACGGCGCGGGCGCGGAATGCTGATACCTGCTGGTACTCCATTTTCTCCTGCTGCTTGTGCGTGTTGGGGAGGGCTGAGCCGGGATGAGGCTGAGGGAACGCTCGCGCTGCGGCGGGCGCCCGCCGCGTAGGCCGCCCGGTGCTCGGGGGCGCATGGCTGGCGTCGGGTGGCCTACCCGCGGGGCGTTAGCGAGCTCGCCGACGCGACACGCTGCTGCGTCTGTTGCTGCTTGTTCGCACTACAATTAGAAATTGTAATTGTCATACAGTCATTGTTCCTAAATTCGGACTTGCGCCCTAAATTCGGACAT